TAGCCTTTATAAACTCCAAAGCATTTTTTCTTTTTTCACATTGTTCATCTAATGATAATAAAGCCATCAGAAAAAATTGGAAATGAAAAAATCCTTCTAAGGCCTATGTTTATTAGGCTAAAAAATGCTTTCTAAGTTGTGTTTTCAATTTATTTTTTTCTGTGATTGTTCATTAGAATTAAAAGAATGTATATTTCAAAATTTTGATCAAACAAATGACTATAACATGGTTTTTGAAGGTTGTTGCATCATATTACTATACAACCGTTGCATGAAATTATTGCCTTATATATATATATATATATATCATATAATTAATCCAGCTCCTATCATGCTTAAAACTGTACCAGACCACCGCCATTTAATCCCGATGGTCAAAAAACCCACAGATACTAAATTTCAGCTCAATCTTCGGGACCATTCAAGGCCTAACTGACCATAAAAGGGTGAGTTTTACACTATTGCGGTGCGACCTTAGCGTACCAGTTTTCATTCATGGAAACTGTGTCTTCTCATTTCGGGATGATTTTCAAATGATCATATCTTGCCCGTTTTCAGTTCGTTTAAACTCAAATTTGGACACAAGCTAGATCTTGACGACTCGATCATTACGATATAAGGCACGCATCTTGGCATGACCCGAAGTGAGAGAATTTCTAGAGTGAATATGTGCTTAAAAACATGGAAATTCATAAAAAAACATCCAAATCTTTGGAAGGCCATAGCGCAAGATTTCATTGACGAATCATCGCAAATATGGGACCGTTGCGATCGTGCATCAAAGAGCTACAATTTGGTACAAGTTTTATGTCCAATCGGAAGCCGAATGATGTAAATTTTAAGGTTGATGAAAGGAACATTTTTTCAGTTGCCGGAAACCCATTTTCCAGCAGCCTCCCGAATTTGGAAAAAGCTGAATTCCATACCAAAATGGACAAAAATTACTGCAAAATGATTGTGACCAGGTCCTCTACAATTTGTGACAAGAATGAAGATGTGGAACATCACAAATCAAGCAACATTGATGGTTAAAGATTTAAAAGTTTATGGACTTGGCCCGATTTTGGGTTCTTCTTGAAACATTTGTTTCAGGACGATTAAAGGGTATCAAAACTTTTACAAAAGTTCAAACATCAATTCTACGACAATTGATTGCCCAAATTGCCATCGTAAGTATCTTATAAAGCTCCCGAAGACTAGCCATAGCAAGAGGCCCCTAATGGAGGGATGGTTTTGTCATTTGCAGAAAAGTTCTAAAGGGTATTTTGGTCATTTAAGCCAAAATACGTGATGATTATTTTAATTCAGTAATTGTATATTTTTGGACAATTTGGGGTACTTTTGAGCATTCAATCCCTCTTTAGTGAACAATTTGGGGTACTTTTGAGCATTCAATCCCTCTTTAGTGAACAATTTGGGGTATAATTTGGGGTACTTGTAATAAGGTCTTGAAATGTTAGTCTTTGAAAGCTTGATCATAATAATATGTGAGCATTTTGGAGTGAATTTATGTTTATTCTCTTTACTTTGATCATAAGTCAAGACCAAAGGGAGAGGAGAGGGAAACATTTATTAAAGAGAAATACCCATTAGGAGTCATAGAAGCCAGTCTACATCAAGACCTGCTTTATTTTAATTGTTATCCTAATTATATATTAAATTTAGGTGATCCCAACCTATTAAAACGTCTGAATTTAACCATATAAAGGATTCAATATGATACCTGGATGTCAAAATCTAGCTATAATATATAGAATATATTATAGAGTACTTAATACACATAATCCTAATAATAAACATTACAACGTAAGAGGTTTTACGACTCTATTTGAGTCGATTATTCATAATAAAACTAAAACACCAAAACAAATTAAATGGGAAGGCGTAAGACTCCTTCAAAATTGGAAGTTGTTACCACACACCCTACATGGAGGTAACTGACAACTCCAAAGGACTGAAGTAGAATTACCAAGTTGAACAACTTATACCCTCAAAGAGAATAAAGGGAAATGATCAAGGGAGAGCCTAATATCTTTTGAAATAAAACAAAGAGATTCATGCCATAATAAAAGGAAAAATAAGGGAAAGATAATAGGAAAAAGAGAAGACGAAGCCAACATCATTCACATTGGTCTCCGTCCTATTTGGAGGAAAATTGGATACCGAACACTATTTTTCCACGCTTGCTCAAACTTCTTCACCACTTCTTCACTGAGGAGCTCAACTCCGCCCTTATGAGCCGTTTGATAGGCCGACCATGTTCTAATCCATGTAAAAAATGCCTCCAGATCCATCTCTCTAGTTCCTTCAAACACAAATGGCCCTGTATGCTCTTCTCCCTCTACAGGCTCGAATGGGAACTCCAAAGTTCTATACTCAGAGGCCCAAAAATGCTCAGAGGCCCAAAAATGCTCAGAGGTTGTATATAAATTCGCCAATATGGAATCCACAGCTTCATTCACCTTAGGCAAAATGTAGCACCAAGCTGCAAAAACTCCTCCAGGCTTCTTGAGGAGCCAATTTAATCGTTGATAGAAGGTGTTGGGGTCAAACCAATGCAAGGCTTGGGCCACGCGACACTCCCTTGTGGTGCAATTGCGCGCGTGACGTCTGTAGGAGGCATCGAGAGTGGGGTGTGGAGGTAGCGGACGTTTGGGTGTGGGTGTGCAAAGGAGAGTGGTTGTTGGCTAATGTCAGTTGCTACTATGTTCTTGTATAGATTTGCTAGCTGCAATAGTACAATGCAAATAATTAAGGGAAAAGTTTAAGTGAGGTATTGTTCAAATGGAATCTCCCTCCAAAAGTCCATCCTAGAGATGGAATTAAGACCTGAAATACATCAATAATTAAGATAAATAAATAAATAAAAGATCTGAAAAATATCCTAAGTTATTTTGGATGTATTTATATTATAGAATCATGATTTTGCAGCTGATAAAATAGTGCAGAATTGATTTTGGAAGAAATATAGAAAATAGTGATTAAGGGTCCAAAATCAGTAAGTATTTTAGCCTTGAAAGTTCACCTTTTTTTTAGATTTATCATCATCCGTTTATAAAATTTTAGGTCCAAAATCCATCTCTAATATAGATCATTGAAGAAGAACACATTTGAACAGGTATGGTGGATGCCCCAAACCATGTTTGGCCAAAATCTTTTAAGGGAAAAAAAAGAGCTGTTTTACTTGAGAGGAGTAAGAAACAGAAAATTCACCTAGCCGCTGAGGAATGGAGCGTCTTCAATTGCGTGTCTTGGACCATTAACTAGAAACCAAATTATCCTCACGAAAATATAATTGACCATACACTGGGACAACAGTATTGAGACTAAAACCTTGTGAGATGGTTTTCCATTTAGGGGTGGCAACGGGTCGGGAAGCGTGGGGTCGGGCTGGACCCGGACCCAGACCCATATAGTATTCGAGTCCACGTTTGAGACCCGGACACGACTCAGGTTCAAAAGATGGACCCATACCCATACCCGTCGGGTTTCAAGTCTATCCCGTTGCGTCTAGGGCATCGTCAGGTCCATTGCAACCCTCACTATGAGCTTCTTTCTTTTATTTTTTTCTCTTTTTTTCCATCACATACTCATATTATTGACAAGAAGGTCACAATCATCCGACATCAGATTTCAAGCCTTCTAATTTATCATTTAATAGCTAAATGTGCTATGAGTTCTTATTGTATAAGATCCTTAATTCATCCAAACGAATGGGACTTGAAGTATTTTATTTCCAACAATTTACGAGTACGGGTAGGGTACAAGTGGGGTCCAACCTGACACGGATCTAGAAATGAATAGTTTTCGGATCTGGGTTTTGGACTTGAACCCAACCCGCCAGATCCAAGATATTGGACCCATACTCTGACCTGTGTCGGGTATACCTGGTGGGTCTCGGGTCGGGTCCATTGCCAACCCTACTTCCATTAAGGGGTTCCTTGGATTCAAATTTATAAGAGTAACCTTTCTTGAAAATGTTGGGCCAATCGTCTTTGGTTCACTTAGGATTGATATTTATGTTGGAATTGAGATTTTTGTGGGACCCCTGAATTCTCATTTTAAACCTAAATTATGGAAATCTCAATTCCACCAAAATAGGTGGAATTGGCATTTCATGGAAACGACCCATTTTGTTGTTGAAGAACAAAAACATATTAAAATTTTAGAGAGGGAAAATATATCAAATTTTTGAGAGAGAAAACATAGTAAATTATTTTAGAAGCAAACGATATCAAATTTTATAGAGTACGTGAATTTTTTAGAGAGAGAAAATATATGAATTTTTTAGAGAGAAAAACTATCTCAAATCTTAAGTTTTAGAGAGAGAAAGTATCTTAAAATTTTAGAGAGAGACACTACATTTAATTTTAGAGAGAGGAACTACTTTAAAATTTTAGAGATATCTCAAAACTTTTGGAGAGAGAAATTATCTCAAATTTTAAGTTTTAAAGAGAGAGTATATTAAAATTTTAGATATTAGAAACTATATCAAATTTTAGATAGACAACTACCTAAAAATTTTTATAGAGAGAAATTATCATAAAACTTTAAATAGGGAGAAACTATATCAAAATTTTAGATAGCGAAAGTACCAAAATTTTTTAGAGAGAGTAACTATGTCAAAATTTTTAGGTAGAAAAACTATCCCAAATTTTAAGTTTTAGAGAGAGAAAGTATATTAAAATTTTAGTTGAAGCAACTACCTAAAAATTTTAAAGAGAGAAACTAACTCAAAATTTAGGTTTTAGAGAAAGAAGGCATATTGATTTTTTAGGGATGGTAACTACATCAAATCTTAGAGTGAGAAGGTACCTAAGTATTGTTAGAGAAATAAAATATTGTAAAATTTTAGAAAGAACCTATCTCAAATTTTAAGTTTTAGATAGAGAAAGTACCTTAAAATTTCAGAGAGAGAAACTATATCATAGTTTAGAGAGAGAAACTACTTGAAATTTTTTAGAGAGAGAAACCATGTCAGAAATTTTATAGAGAGAATCTATCTCAAATTTTAAGTTTAAAAGCGAGTCAAAATTTTAGAAATAGAAACTATCTCATATTTTAAGTTTAAAAGAGAGTCAAAATTTTAGAAATAGAAACTATATCAAATTTTAGAGAGAGAAAGTATCTAAATTTTTTAGAGATAGATACTATCTCAAAATTTTTAGAGAGAGACCGTATTTCAAATTTTAATTTTTTGAAAGAGAAAGTGCATTAAAATTTTAGAGAGATAAACTATATCAAATTTTAGAGAATATCTAAAAATTTTTAGAGAGAGAAACTATCTCAAAAATTTTAGATAGTGAAACTATTTCAAATTTTAAGTTTTTGAAAGATGAATAAAGAAAAAACCTTATCAAATTTTAGAGAGAGAAACTATCTCAAAATTTTAAAGAGAGAGAGAGAGATTATCCCAAATTTTGAGTTTTAGAGAGACAAAGTACATCAAATTTTGTTACTTTTGTTGGTGTTATTCTAAAGAGAGAAACACACAGCTGGCTTGGTGTTTGAAATGGGAGGAAGACCCACTTCTTGATATTGCATGGAGGCAAGAAGAGAGGGAGAGGATTTGCATTCCTAAGAAAAAGATATTCTAGGCAATCCAAACAGTGAATTGGCATTTTTTGGTTTCTACCGGATACAATCCAATCAGCATACACTATAATGTAGAAATTGGCGATTCTAGTAAATACCAATTCCAAAATACACGTTTTCATAAGATCGAAAAATCCAAAGAACCATACGAAACCTTTAATGGCCTAGGCCCAACATGTAAAAGAATGTTATATACTCCTTTACTTAGTTCATTTGTTCTTTTAGAGAAAACTACTAGAATTACCTTACCCCTAAAGCAAAAAAAAAAATTTCAAATTATTATCAAGGAAGAGTAGAAGGAAAGCAAAAGAATAATAGTGAAATTTCATAATTACATGATTTATTTCATATACTAGGAATATTCAGCCACCAATGCATGCCAGGAAAAAATTAAAAGTGGCCACTCTACCATTTTTATTGTTTTTGCTGAATGTGGTACGGAATGGAGATGGGTTTCAAAAACCTTAGGTCTTTTTAGCTTAGTACTTTAAATGGTGGAAGTTCCATAATGAAATCATAAGCAAAAAAACAATCAGCAGAGGCAAAAAATATAAAGATGGAGAAATAGAGGAGTGATGTATGGAGAAGATTAGCAATGCACAATGTGCAAAGATAAGAGCAATGGCCCAAAAGATACCTTGAGCAATAGCCCAATCTGGACCAATGATCCCAAACTAGTGGATGGAGGCCACGATCCTACGTGGGATCCACCATTTTTATATAATGTTGGTCTAACTTACCACATAAGTCTACATTCAACTGGATCAATGATCCCGAACTAGTAGATGGAGGCCACGGTCCTGCGTGGGATCCACCATTTTTATAGAATGTTGGTCTAACTTGCTGCATAAGTCTACATTCAATGGTCTAGATGCGCTTGTTGTGAGAAACTATATTTGTATATATTTGGGCCTTAAGCCCCCATGGAAGAAGTATTTATGAGCTTATCCAAGATATTCACAAGAACCTCAATTTATAGTGCTACAAACTTGTGTACTATTAAAGAAAGTAATATATACAATGTACCACCTTCCAAATATGGGTACACATAAAGGGAATGAACATATTGTACCAAAAAATAAGTGAAAGAAAGACCTATGTGATCTTTTACCGGGTAATAC